ACAGAGAGAGAGAGAGAGAGAGACAGCGAGAGAGAGAGAGAGAGAGAGAAATGAGAACAGTAGTAGTATAAGTAATCAAGGCAACAGTCTTACCACATCTTCCCGATGCTAGTTTCACACACCTACCTACCTACCTACCTACCTACCTAACACACGCACACAGACCTACCGACTTCTTAGAAGCATTCCGGCTAGAATCGGCATCTCGCCGCTCGATCAAGAAGCTAATCTTGTGCAGACGCGTGCCGCACGGTTGAGAGTTCAGGGTTTACACTACACGCTGCGAGGACGGTTCAGACTGTGCGATTTTGTACACAAACCCCAGGCGGTGTGATGCTACAGGTACTGCTTTTCTTTACAGTGTCTGCTTACCCGTAGGCTCCATAGTATTTCCTTTTCGGGATTACCTTATAAGATCCTATAAGGTAACGCCAACAAGGAACTACCAAGGAGCCTCTACTTGGAGGTTCACGGGTAGTTATGAGTGGGGTTCGAAGTCCCTAGGTTTAGGGTTTAGGGGTTTAGGGACTATACTTACCCTAATTACTTATAATCCCATATATAACTCCCCATGAACCTCCAAGTAGACCCCAAACCCTATACCCTTATAGATTCCCTATAGATCCCTTTAAAGGGACCCTTAAAGGAACCCTTATAACTCCCCATGAACCTCCAAGTAGGTAAACATGAAGAAGCACTGGAGGGGAGGCCGGCGGCAGCTGAATCGGTGCACGGCGGATTAAGCTGGGCTGCGGCCTTGTGATTACGAGGTACCCATAAGGAATCTACCAGAACTCCGATAGTCTAGGGTCGTTATAAGGTATTGCAGGATTTATATCATCAACCGTATCAAACCCTGAATCCTAAACCCTTTTTGACCTCAAGTCAAGCCAGATCACGACCCTGAGTCATCTGGACTAACGCCGACAAAAACCCTAAACTCTGAATCCTAAACCCTTTCGCAACTGGTTTGCAACGTCATTTCCCCCCTAAATCCTAAACCCTACACCACCCAAATCCTAAATCCTAAACCCTAAATCGCCTTGGTGGAATCCAAGACGAAGGCAATGAACATCGCCGAAGACCACAGCTCAAAAAGGCACACCGCCAGTGTGGTAACCAGCCACACTTGCCTGCAAGGGGAAGCCTATCCCTCAAGGGGTCCTTTAAGGGCTCCTATAAGGGTTTGGGATTCCTAGTTCCGAGTACTAGGGCCCTCTAGATGCAATGTTTCCTGTTTTGTTCTAACATAGGGTCCTGACGTTCCTGGCCCTTGTTCTTCCTGGTACGACTGGCCCTAAACCCTGAAACCCAAAGACCACAAACCCTACCCTACATCCTCACGGCCCTATACTGACCTTTGTAGAAAGGCAGGAAGGGCTTCTTGTATGAACCATCGTAGCATCCCCGATAGCAGCCCTTGCAGTAGCCCACGGCAAAGAAGAGGACGACGAGCACAACTACATCTACACGCTTTGCTACACCGAGCGCGAATTCTTGCTGATGATACTACGACCATGGCCGCAAACTCCTACCACTACTGAACTACCCAGAGACTCCAATATCCCTTAATTAAGGAATATACCTCAAAATATAGTAGGATCCCTAATATGATTTAAGGAATATTCCTTAATTAAGGGATATTGGAGTCTCTGGGTAGAGCCCGAACCTCGCTAGCAATTACGCTTCTTCTTTTTGAGCTCCGGCCCCTCCATGTTGGTAATCGGCACTTACGGGTGTCAGGGCCTCGAGTTATAGGATCCTTAAGGGAGGGTGGTTCAAGAGGGGAGGGTATAAGGAATCCTTAGGGGACTGTAAGGGAACCTTAGGGAGTACTAGGGAGAATTAGGGATCACTAGGCTATATACCCCCCTTGGACCCCCCTCCCTTAAGGATACTACTATCGAGGTTTCAGATCTCTGGGCGTCTGGGGTGGCCCTGGACAAACAAAAACTACCCACAGGCCCAAAATGGTAGTTCGTTCTTGGGATTGCTTTAGATTCTAGGTATGAACCCCGAAAAAGGACTACTTTGGGGGCCTGTGGGTAAAACAAAACCCTTAAAGACGAAAAGAACCCTGAAAGGGTTTAGGGTTCCTATACCTTGTTAGGGAGTCATAGTATATGAGTATAGGGCCCCTACTTCTACGGGTCATTTGTTCTTGAAGGACCCTAAACCCTAAACCCTAAGCCCTAAACCCTAAACCCTAAACCCTAAGCCCTAAACCCTAAACCCTAAACCCTAAGCCCTAAACCCTAAACCCTAAACCCTATACCCTAAGCCCAAAATCCTAAACTGGCCTGGCTCGTGGCGAGGCGAGGTAACATCGGCAGATCCTTAGTTGCTGAGTTCACAAAAGCCCCACGCCCCCCCCCCCCCCCCCCCCCAAAAAAAAAAAAAAAAAAAAAAAACAAAAAGTGTACACTTTTAGTTTTTTATAATGGGTACAGGGTTTCAGGGTTTAGGGTGTAATATTAAAGAGGCCTGGATGCAAAAAGGGTGTAATATTACTACAAAAAGTGTACACATTTAGTTTTATTTGTTGTATAGGGTTTCAGGGTTTAGGGTTTGTTTCCCTACCTAGCAAGGACGAAACCCGCATTGCAAGGAATCTTGGATGAACAGCAGAAAAAGCCAAACTTTCGTAGCTAATAGACCTAAGGGTTTAGGGTGTAATATTATCCCAAAAAGTGTATCCACTCAGCTACTAAGGATCCAGTGGATCAGCGCGATGGGCATGAAGAAAATCTCCACGAGCATCTTCAACCTGGCAAACCCAGAGATCCCAATACCCCGTTTAAGGAATATACCTTAAACTATAGAGGCCTTAATATTATGGTTTAAGCTATACCCTAAACCCTAAACTCTTCCTTAATTAAGGGGTATTGGGTTCTCTGGGAACTCCAAGGCACTTCAAGGTTCATGGGTAGTTATAAGGGTTCCGTAACGGTTCCCTTTAAAGGGATCTATAGGGACTCTATAAGGGTATAGGGTTTAGGGTCTACTTGGAGGTTCATGGGTAGTTATAAGTGGGGGTATAGGAGTTCCTTTGAGGCATCCTTTAAGGCATCTATAGGATTTTTAGAGTTTCGGCTAGTTATACGTGGGGTTATAAGTCCCCTAATATGGGTTATATCTATACTTACCATACTGATAACCCCACTTATAACTCCCCATGAACTTCCAAGCAAAGCAGGGGAGTTGGTGCTTCTGTGATGGGCTTCTACACCAAAAGCACTGAAGCCTAAGTTGAGTAGTAAATTCCCAACTTTGAACCCCAAATCAAAACATCACACCCTTGGATTGGAGAAGTCAAGCTGGGATGTCGAAGGCCTTTTCCCATGGACACCGCCTACAGTAGAAGCCAGAACGTTGGAATATGATTATCGTAACCCCTTTAAGGCAAATTATAGGGGATCCTACCATGAAACCATATTCCAACTTTCTGGAGTTCCCTTTACAACGAAACCAGTAGACTCCCCTGATCTGTTCGACTCGCACACTCGCTCGACGCAGGCGGCTTCCTGAAGTCTGATTGCTACCGTTACTGCCGTTACCTGAGGAGGGGAGGCGGTAAGGACATAAGGACATTCTACATGGGCATTGACAGAAGAAGAACATCAAGATGGACACAAAAGGAGGTACACCTCGTCGTCCTAAATCCACAGACAACGTGCCCTATTCTTGCTGCCTGGTGCAAAAGCGGAACAAGGAAAGGATGAAAACTGTGCAGGGTTTAGGATTTAGGGCTTAGGGACACGAGGCATCAAACAGTGATAAGCCCTGTCTAAAGCAAGACACAGTCTTCACAGACATCCACAAATACGTACACAAACACGCAAATACACACAAAAGCATACAAATAATCACATACAAACCAATACATATAACAAATACATGTATATATATATATATGTATATATATATATATATACATATGTATACACACACATGGCAGCCTGGTGTCGGGAACCTCAACCCTCAACTGCGTGCTTGGGTTAAAGTTCTGAGGCTTCGTTTCAGGGCTTAGGAGCCTAGACACCCGGAGCCCTCCCCCAAAGGGTCCATGTATCCATATGGGAGTTTCCGAAAATAGGGGACCCTAATACAGCACCCTAAATAGTAGGATCCTTATGATAAGGACCCCCAAATAAGGCACCCCTTGTTTTCGGAAATCCACATATGAGTATACATTGACCCTGAAGTACTTATATAGGGACTACTTCATAAGGACTAAGTATATACTGTATGAGTACATGGACCCTTTAGGGCCAACCCCAAACTCCCGGAACCCTAAACCCTAAACCCTAAACCCCTAAACCCTAAACCCTAAACCCTGAACCGTGCGCCTCCGCTTGGACTTGAGGTGCTGCTGTCTTTCCTTCCACTCCTCTTCCTTCTGCGATCGGCGCCTGGGTCTGATTTAGGATACAGGGTTTCGTTTCTTAGTTGCTGAGTTCATAAGCCCCCCAAAAGTGTACACTTTCAGTTTATAGTGGGTAAATTATCCCAAAAAGTGTAAAGTGTATCCACTCAGCTATTAAGGTTTCGACACGCACACTCGAAGGAAGGCAGGCAAGGCTTGAACAGAGTCCAGCTTCAGCAAGTGATGCGATTGGAGGTGTCAAGCTGGTCAAACACAATTGTCTTCGGTAAACCGGGAAAGGGCTGAGGGTTTAGGGTCGGCATTCTCATGTGCGACATGTGGAGTCGAAGCGGTCGCACGAGCTGTTCCACAAGCAAGGGGTTCGACTGATGTCTTGTCCATATGGCGGAGGGGCTTCGCTCATGGTGAAACAGAAGCCCGCGCGGCGCAGAACTCACACAGTGGAATGGGCCACCCCTCCATCACCGTTCGTTTGGTCACGCATCATCGACAGGAACTGCTGGAAGTCGATGTCGTCATCACCTTTGCCGCGCAGCTCTAGCAGTATCTCGGCGATGGCCTCCCTACCGACTTCCTCCTCCACCGCTTGAGCACAGAGCACCTGCTGGGGCTCCTAGATGGAGATCTTTCCATCGCCGCCCCTGTCGAAGACACGGAAGGCAGACCAGCAAACGTCTTCTTGGCTGTACATCCTGTCTAAAGTCGCTGCTAGAAGCTCCGTGTAGTCGATCTTCAAACTCCCATCCGAATCCACTCCCAATACAAATGGACTATGCGTATGCCAGGAAGCGAAGCGTCGCCTGTGCTGTGGACTCGAATCCACTCCCTGCATCGGCGACCAGTCGACCGGGATGTCCTTCAAGCCGGCCTTGGAAAGCCCCTCCTTCATTTCATTGAGTGTCACTAAGCCTGTTCCGTTGCTATCGATCATCATCAAAACGTCTCGGAGCTGCTTGATCTGATCCTCGTTCTGCGGACGGATGATGGGTAAGTGTGCCTTGTCGCTACGGTATTTTAGAGACGAAAAAAACTGCTCTTTGGCACTCTCCAGCTGATCGTTCCTGGCCCTCGGTGCCTTGAGCTTGATCCACTCGTGCTGCAACGCCTGATCTGCAGTGAACCTGGCTCTGGGCTTCATCTGGAGCAGGCTGCGTATGAGGTCCTTGGCATCCTCCGACACATTCTTCCAGTCGGCAGGATTAAAACCGAAGTTGCCCATCTTCACCTTGGACAAAACTTCCTGATCGGAGTCCCCAAAGAAGGGAGGATAACCGCAGAGCAGCACGTACATGATGACGCCGCAACTCCAAAGGTCACACGCCTCGTCGTGGTTGCCCGACAGCACCTCGGGTGCGACGTAGTACGGCGCGCCAGCCTTGGTAATACAAGGGCCTTCAACATTAGAATAGGGTTTAGGGGTACATTATGCTACAGTTAAAATAAGGGACGCAAATAGTATAGTCATAGGCAAAAAATTTCAGGTCCCTTTAGTACGGCGTGCCAGCCTTGATCGCCAGCATCTGGCCCTCCACGAACTTGCAGGAAAGGCCGACGTCAATGATCTTGAGGCAATTGTTTTCTAGGCGCTCCCGGGAAGCGAAAAGAAAGGTCTCGGGCTTCAGGTCCCGGTGTGCAACCTTGTTCTCGTGCATATAGTGCACGGCACGGATGATCTGCTGCATCAAGGTGGCAGCTATCACCTCTGTGAAGTTGCCGTTTTCAATGATGTGGGCGAAAACCTCACCACCCGAACAAAGCTCCATGACTAGGTATATATTCCTCTCGTCTTCGAAGCTCTCGTAGAGTTTAATGATGTTCGGATGGTCCATCATTTTCATGATTGCAATCTCTTGGTTGAGCCGCTCCATGTTCTTCACGTCCCCCTTGGCAATGGTCTTCACGGCGCGGACAAGGCCCGTCGCCGTGTTCTTCGCCTTGCAGACATAGCCTAAGGACCCTTCCCCCAGCTTCTTCTTTTCAAGCTCGTAGAGATGAAGTATGTTCCCTGGATTGTCAATAAACTGTGCTCGCCCTCCAGAGTCTGGCTTCGCCTGATTCTGTCGGGGATTGGCCTCTTGGCCGGTCTTGCTTGAAGGGCAACCCATTTGGGGGGGAAACCCCGTCCTGGGATCTGAGGTAGAGCTTGAGCCACAATGGCAGGGTGTAGGGTTTAGGGTTGTTTCGGTTGTAAGACGGGTTCGCGGAATTTCGGGTTCAGAGGTTTAGGGTCTAGGGGGGAGAAGATGACAAGTGCGTGGGCTGTATTTAGGATTCCGCACATGGAAAGTAGAAGTTCAGCCTCCTCCCGAGATATTGGCAGGCTCCGGGAAGTTGGGGGAGAAAGGTAACCCGGAGCCTGCTAACATCCTATTTGCTAAGCTCTCGGCCCTCAATATTCACTAAGCGTGCTTGTCTGGACAGCTCTCTCTGCTCTACTACCAAAACCTACATTTTTGTAGGGTCCCTAAAATTCCCATATCAGCGTTTATGTTAGGAACCTACAAAAAAGTAGGGTTTGGTAGGTTAACGTAGTACCTTCTCTGCCTTTCAGAACTTCAGCCTAGACTGGTACAGATCCGGAAGCTAGTTTCTCATGTGGCACAAGGAGGGGTGTCCAGTTTCGATGTGTGGATGCTTTGAGCACTTGTTGTAGAGACATGAAACGCAACCTACCGCGGTGGCATCTCCTGCAGCGTCTTCCCACAAGACTTGAGAAACTTAGAATAGGAATGCTGTATCACAGCGACTTCACCTTAGCCTTGCGGATGTGGAGGTGCTGAAATTCCAAAACACTTCAGGCTTGCCTGTTGAGACCGTACATCTAGTCCCCTTCTCTAAACCCGAAAAGCCGCATCTCGAGCTTTGAATCCGTTTCTGCCGCAGCCTATAGACTCCGCACCCTGAGTTGCTGGCCAGTCCAGCGTGGCTGGAGGGTTTTCGGGCGGACGTCCAAGTAAGAAACAGGAGCTACAATTAAAACCGCTTGGGATGAACCCCCTATTCCGTGAGTTACCGGCCTCTCCCGCATCTCTTCCTGACTGTCAACGATGATGACCTCCAAGTGTGTGAGAACTCCACACAGACCCAAAAAACAAGACCGAATTCAGGGGTGGAGTTGCGCGTGACTGACAAGACTATAGTGGTCTTTGTACATGTTGGCTGCAGCGAGAGTTCCTTGGGAGCTGAGAATGGGATCCGATTGTTCCTCATGTCCACCACATTCCATCACGACTGCAAAAACCCGAAACTGTCATTTAAGTTGGGGACGCAGAGAGACCACCATCCCATCAACTAAGGAATATGTTCCCTGTGCTAGCAGCTGCTAACATCAGACGCCCTCGAGAATTCAAGCTACCCATAGGCTCCATAGTACTTCCTTGTTGGGATTACACATACCTTTTTGGGATTCTATATATGATCCCCCAGAAGGAACTACTTTGGGGCCTCTAGGTACTTTCCTGAATAATTACTGCTTCTCTATGAGAACGAAGCCCGTAACTTGCGAAAATTACAGTCGCAAAGCGGGCCCTGGCCCAGACACGCGGAACTCCTAAGCCCAAACCAAACCTTAACCCAGAGACTCCAGTACCCCTTAATTAAGGAATATACCTTAAATCATATTAGGGATCCTACCATAATTTAAGGTATATTCCTTAATTAAGGGATACTGGAGTCTCTGGGCAAAATCCTAAGAACCACCATCCGGAGCCTTCAAAAGCATCCAAAGAACGCCGACAACACCCCTAGAACTCTTACACGGCCTTAGACAGTAACCTTAATAATCAGAATAAGGTTTGGGGGTACAGAAAACTATTATTATAGTACTCATAACAAGGAACCCCCGAAATCGTATTAGTAACTATTTCGGCTTCCACACTATACCCCCCCCCCCCCCCACCCGCAGCCTTCTTGGCAGCCGCGGCTTTGAGAGGTTCGATGAGCCCAGGGAAATCAATGAGACCCACATTTGCTCGACGCCGCCTGGGGCTTCGCTCAAAGGGGAAAAGGAGGGACCCTTAATGGGGACCCTTTAAAGGGGTCTATAGGGATTCTATAAGGGTTTAGGGTTTAGGGGTTTGAGGGCTTAGGGTTTTAGGGTTTAGGCTTCAGGGGTTTAGAATTTAGGGTTCAGGGTTTCGGGTTTAGGAGTTCTCTTCTATTGTAGGGCCTTTAAATATCAAAGGGGAAAAGGAGGGACCCTTAATGGGGACCCCTACCCTATAATGGGCCTATATAATGGGTATATAATGGCTATATTATGGGTATATACCTATGGGGTCCTTATTCGGGGTCCCTTCTTTTACCCTTTGATTCTAGGGTTTAGGCTTTACCTAAAGGCTCCATAGTATATAGATCCTTTTTGGGGTTCATATGTAGAATCCTATAATAAAGTAATCCCAAAAAGGAACTCCTATGGAGCCTCTGGGTTTAGGCCTTATTCTTCTTTGCTTTAGGCTTTCGGGTTTAGGGCTTTGGGGGTTTAGGGTTTAGGCTTTAGGGGTTTAGAATTTAGGTTTCAGGGTTTCGGGTTTAGGAGTTCTTAAACTTCAAAGAGGGTTTCGGCGCTCACGCTCGGACAATCAAATAAGCTTTAGGGTTTCAACTCACACACTCGCACAAGGCAGGCATGGCTTCAGGCACTGGGTCCACTGCTTTAGGGTTTAGGGTTGCTACGAGCTTTTGTGCTGGTGCATAAGGTGTTCTTCTATTGTAGGGCCTCTAAATATCCAAGGGTAAAAGGAGGGACCCTGAATAAGGACCCCTACCCTATACTGGGCCATATAATGTGTATACAATCGCTATATTAGGGGTATATGCCTAGGGGTCCTTATTAAGGGTCCCTCTTTTTACCCTTGGAAAATAGGGCTTTTGTAATTTATAAGTGCCTTGATCGGGTTTTTCAGCGGCTTTACAGGACTGTCGCAGGGTGTGGTACGACTTTACAGAAGCCTTTGTGTGTGAGGCGCGGCGGCTTCGATCGATTCCAGAGCTCAAGGCGTAAGGCTTAGCGGCTTTGGGTTGAGCCGTTTAGGATTTAGGGCATAGTTTAAGCCTGATATTGCTGATTGGTTAAGGTGTTTGGGTTAGGATTTGGTACCTCAAGGGTCATGACTGTTGATGTGGTCCTGCACGATTAGGTTTACGCATTCTTCTGGACAGACTTCTGCCCCCAGAACACCCTAACCCGCAAGCCCGACATCCCAAACCCAAGAACCTGCGGCAACAGATTGACTGCAGGCATCTTTTTCGGGCATTAAAACATATGTCCTCCAAATTTTGCCTCGAATATCCTGAAAAATCCTGCTGGAGTTGCTGTGGTTCTATACTCACAAGCAATTTACTAATCTGCAAAGCCAATGCTTCATCTGAGCCGACCACGTCTCCTTACCTAAACCACTATACCCTCCGTTTCAAAACCTGTGCAAGCCTTAACCGCCTAAACCGTCGCCTCTTGTTGAACCCAGGTTGCGCCATTACCCCTAAGTTAAGGAATCCTGTGGGCACCCCAAAAAGGCCGCCAGGCTGCGCGAAGGTAGTAGCAGCCATCGCAGCCGCACGAAGGCCCAACTTCGTTTTGGTGCCCTGTCCGGTTGTTAGTTCAAGGTCTAGGGTCTAGGGTTTAGGGTTTAGGCTCAGGGTTGAGAGTTTCGGGTTCAGGTTTTAGGGGCCTCTCTCTGTTTTGGTAGTAGGCTCTCTTCATGAGTTTTAAGGTTGGTGGGGCTTCCGAGGTGGGGTTTCTAGATTTGGGAGTTTCCGAAAATAGGGGCCCTAACATAGTACCCTAAATAATCGGATCCTTATTATAAGGGCCCCAAAATAAGGTCCCCCTAGTTTTCGGAAACTCCCATTTGTAGGGTTTACAGATTTGGGGGTCTTCCACTTTTGGTTTCGGAATACTGTTTGGATGTCAAGGTTGTATCTGTTGCACACCGAATCATTTACACGATGTAGGAGATCGTGCTAAGAGTACCGGAAAGCCAAGGTTGAGTGGATGAGTATTGATGGCCATTTTGGGGGTTTAGGGTTTAGGGCCGTTTAGGGTTTAGGAGGACATGCGGCTCCTAGAGAGGGCAATACCCCGAAACCACGGGCAGCAAACAGCAAGGAGAGCTGCTGTTTGGGGCAGGGGGCTTAGCTATTACCTAGAGGGTCATACCGTACCCCTTTTTTAGGATACCCAGTTTTATGGTTAGGATCTGTTATGTAGAATATTAGGTACCTTAAAAAGGGGTAGGGTAGGGTATGAGCCCCTAGGTAAGGTTCCAGAGGCATGCGGCAAATTGATCGTCACACCCAGCCCGAGCTTTGCTGCGACACTACTCGAAAAGCCGAGGAACTCAGCTGAGGAATAGGCGGACAATCATCTTTACCCTCTGCCCATCTACTCGAAGGTAAGGGACATACAACTCCATTTACAACTACGCATGAACCTCCAAGTAGACGCTGAACGAACAAAATCCGAATCCGAAACCCTGAGCCCGAAGTCTCCTATACCTAGAGTTAGTTCCTTTTTGGGGTTCATATGTAGAATCCTATAAGGTAATCCAAAAAAGGAACTACTATGGAGCCTCTGGGTAGACCTAACAAACCCAGCTGTACGAGCGCCGGTCCACGGCTGCATGCGTGATGCTATCGAGATGATGCGCAGTCGTCTGTAACGTATACTAATCTACCCAAACCTATATACCTTCTGAAGGACCGTATTGATAAACCCTAAAATGGGGTCTACAGAAAGTAGGTTCTGGTGGGTTCAGGTAGGAGGCAAGGATAAATAAAACCATGAACCACGACTCGCGACATCCCAAGCCCTGTGCTGGATGCTTAGGCCCTTGTCTTCCCCTGTGCACGAAGCTTTGGTGCCTCTTCCTCTTCGACGGGTGGCTTCTTCAGTATCGACTTCCTGGCTGCTTTTGAACTGTCCAAGGATAAAAAGGAGGCACCCTTAATGAGGACCCCTAGGTATCTAACCTGAATATAGCGACTTATAGCCACTATATCTCCCGTTATAGGGCAGGGATCCCCGTTAAGGGTCCCTCCTTCGGTCCGTTGAAACTGGGAGTTTCAGAAAACGAAAAACCTTCATTTTCAGGTCTAACGTGGTCAAGGTGTATACGATACGGGAACATAAATCATTAGGGCTTGACATAGACCCAACATGACCCAATAATTACAGAAGGATCTGGTCCTTGCCACGAACACCCGTGCCGACAAGCTGCTGTTGTAAGAAACTGCTGTTGCCCTGTAGGGCTTATACTTGTCAGCGTTCTGAGCTGTGTTCCGCATCCATGAATGCTATGCAAGACGGGTCGAAGCTTGGGCTGTCCAGGTAAGACCGCTCAGCTCTGAATAACCGGCAGTGCATCTACCAGCGAAACCAACAGGCTGAGCCGCAGCACATATCATATAAAGTCGAACACGAGTAGCGAGCACAAGGCAGCACACTTCCGAGTTTAGAAAGCACCATGAACCTGAAGGACCAAATGACCCTTAAAAGTAGGGGCCCTATACCCATATACTATGAATTCCTATAATGGTATATGAACCTTAAACCCTTTTAGGGTTCATTTCGTCCTTAAGGAAGTCGGGAGGGCCAGCTGGACACCTTTCGGAGATGGTATTGCAGCCGACGAGCCCTCTTTGAGCCCTAAACCCAAAAAATCTTGTTTTGGGAGCCTGTGAGATTACCCAACGGCCCCAAAGTAGTTCCTTTTTGGGGTTCGTATATAGAATCCTATAAGGTAATCCCCAAAAGGAACTACTTTGGGGCCTCTGGGTAGAACAGGGAGTGTAGGGGTTTATGGTACTATACTTGTATAAGGGTGCGCTAAGGCATAGTGTTGGTTACCCAAACCTTAAACTTTACACCCTAGACTCTAGCCTTTAGCCTCTCAGCCCGAAACCTACAACTCTAAACCTTGAGCTCGAAACCCTAAACCCTAAACCCTAACCCCTACACCCCTAAACCCTCAACCCTAAAACCCCAAAACCCCTGAACCCTAGGCCTGCTCACAACCCTAAACCCGGGTTAGTGCAGGCCTTCCAGAATCCCTTAATTAAGGAATATACCTTAAATTACAATAGGATCCCTAATATGATTTAAGGTATATTCCTTCATTAAGGGATTTTGGAAGGTCTGGGTAGTGCAGGCCAAGGTGCAGAGGCGGGAGCTTGAATCGGGGGTCCGACTTTATCTTTTGCACCATCATTTCCTGCGCCTCCTCGTCATCATCCTGTCAAGCGATGACCCATGACTGCTTCGGCTGAGGTTTAGGGTTAATAGTAGGGTTTACGGATTTATCTAAAGGTTTATGTTGGGGTTAGGTTTAGGGTGTATAGGATTAGTGAGCTTATACCAGGGCAATCTTGGAGGCTCATGGATAGCTATAAATGGAGTTATATGTCCAATAATATGGGCTATAATTATAGTTGCCCTACTTATAACCCCACTTATATCTACCCTTAAACCCCATAGAACCCCTAAAGGAACCCCGTAGCCCCACTTATAACTCCCCATGAACCTCCAAGTAGACCCCAAACCCTATACCCTTATAGAATCCCTATAGATCCCTTTAAAGGGGCCCTTCACGGAACCCTTATAATAACTCCCCATGAACCTCCCAGTAGGCTTTGATCTAGTCTTTGTCGGGAGGAGGAGTCACCTCTCGGTAGAGCTGAGTCCTACTTGTCGGGTATCATGGGGAACTAAAGTTAACCTTTTTGAGTATATAGGGGTTATATAGGGATAATTTTTGTCACTCGTGGGGATAATAACTACCCCGAAAAGGTTAAAGGTTACCTACTCTACTATTAGGGAGTTCAGTCGGAATGCAAAAGCGAAACCTTGAAGAAAACACTGCTACTCCGAGGGCCAAAATAAGTACCAGTACTATTGTGGTAGTTCCTTATTATAGTTATAGTATAACGGGCCCCAACACCCTATTCTTATTGTTAAGCCCCCTATATTACATTCTTTTGAGGTTCAGGGGCTGCTGGGCTCGCCAGCGAGCTAGGCAAGAGTCTTTAATTCCTTTAGTGTCAACGAGGCTTCAGGAATTCGCAGCTTCCATGCATGGGGATTGAATTTAAAAAAACACCGGTACAGAAGTCCTAAGCAAATCAAGAGCGCAGGATGATCAGGAGAAGGATCCTTGGAGGCCCTATGTTTCAGCAAAACCTATGTACTTTGCGCCCACAAACTGCGAACTTACAAGTGCCCTATAAGCGCAAGTATGTCAAGGATTAGACCTTTTGGACACTCTCATCCTCAACACCTGAAGTTTGCTCTCTGCACCTACAGGAGTTGTTCATTTCCTCTGTTACGGAGCAACCCAGGGTTGTGTGTGTGGGGGGTTACGCGTGATCTGAAACCCCAAAGTCTGAACCCAGGACCCAGATGCTTTTGGCGCACTGTTGAGTTTGGCATATCGCAGCTGAACTGCTGCAACCAAGCCCCTTTCGGACCCTAGAAAATTCCATCTTTGCAAGGATTTAGACAAGGAAGCGGCACAAGACTCAAAGCCTGCCCTGCTTACTGGCCCTCCTCGCCACCCAGCCTGCCCCTGCCCCCGAACTTACCGGGTTTAGGGTTTAGGGATTAGGGTTTAGGGGTTTACGGTTTAGTTAGTAGGGAATGGAAGAATGGTAGCAATAGTAGTTAAAATTGTACCCCATTCCTCCATTCCCTACTAACCAAAGGTAAGCAAAGCCCTAACAGGAATGGTTTGGGTGGTTGCCTGTGGTATCATCACAGCGGGCGGGTTTCAGAGAACTGCCGGTTTCACCAGGCTTACGACACATGCAAGGGAGCTCGCTTTGCGCGTAATGTGCCGCCACCCACAAACCCAGGTGTGAGGTTGCGCTATCCTAGCAGGGATTATACCAGCCACGCAAAAATAAACCCTCAACCCTTAACCATATACTCTGTACCCTAAACCCTAAACCCTAAACCCTATACCCTAAACCCTATACCCTAAACCCTATACCCCTAAACCCCTGAACCCCCTTGGAGCCGTTTGACCGAAGGCCTTGGCCGTCAGCGTCTCCACAGGCAAGCTGCCCGTCGGATCGGTCTCGCCCTGGTTTTCTCTGGTCTAAACATAAGGGAGTTTCCGATCCTTTAAGGGTTCCTTTAAGGGTTTCTGTAAGGGATCTATAGGGTTCAGGGTTTAGGGAGTTTCCGTTTAGGTACCTTAATTAAAGGGTTCCTTCAAAAGGGCCACTATAAGGGTACCATAGGGGTTCCTTCAAAGAGGGCTACTATAAGGGCACTATAGGTCTATAAGGGTCTAGGGTTTCCGAAAATTAGGGGGTACCTTATTTTGGGGGTCCTTATAAGAAGGATCCTACTATGTAGGATACTATATTAGGGTCCCCATTTTCGGATACTCCCATATTTTGTGGCTTCTATCGCTTATAGGGTTTAGGGTTTCGGGGTTTAGGGTTTAGGGGTTTCGGCGCTGACACTCGGACAATCCAAGCGAGGCATTTAGGGGCTTCTAGGGTTCAGGGTTTGGGGCATGTATGGCTTTGATATGGGTGTTCTGGACTATCTCAGGTCTGTTTTGGGGCTTCTGGGGTTTGGGATTTAGGGCTTAGGGATTGTAGGGTTTAGTGTTTTAGGGTTTAGGGCTTAAGGGATTTATGGGCTGCTGTAGGGCTTTGATATGGGTGTTACCGGGGATTTTCTGGGACATCATACCACAGCAGATTCTTGCTGAGGATCTCACCATGTTCTCTCAGTTCTTGCTTGGGAACTTGCTGAGGATGCCGGCATCCATGAGTTTGGTTGCTGTGATCCCTGGCTTGTAAGATCTGTCGAAATAATTGTTTTGCTGAGGTTTTGCAAGATTGTCGTTGGGTTCTTGTGACTTGCTGCTAGCTCCACCTACCCATGTACTTCATTCGGACCGCAGCAAAGAAACAGACTAACCCACCCGTTAACAACCCTACAGAGCGAGTTTAGATACCTGCCATTCACGGTTCATCTCCTCAATACGCAATAGAGGCGTCTTAGAAATCTCATAGTGCAGTCAACACGGACGCTTTCCCGCTGCGGAGGTGTCAAGCGACCCTCAAAACAGAAAACACGCTCTGCCAACAACAACTCTCCTTCTGGTATCCCAAAGGCTCCCTTTACCTTTATAGTAGATACTAAAGCCTTAAAGAAGTCCCTATATAGGCACTTTAAGGCCTAAGTACCTACTATATGGGTACGTGGAGCCTTAGGGTATGTCGGGTTCAAAGGTCCGACTTTTTTGTGAAAAACCTGCAGCTCCAGCACAAATCGAAGCAGCTCTAGCCGCTCTAGCCAACATGATAATGATGGTGATCATCAGCATCAGCATCATCATTATCACCATCATCATTCTCACCAACACCATCAACATCATCATCATCATCATCCTGAGTCCCTCCCCCTCCCCACCTCGTCATGAAATCGATTCACCGTTATCATGCGGCACCGTCAGTGTCACAACCACCGTTAACGCTATCTCTCGTTGCCAGCACCTTCATCAGTCATTGAATATACAAGTATGCAATGCAACAGCTGCAGGATATGTAACAGCAAGCACATCTAAAAAGTCACGATAGCTGCTAGCGGCCTCCTCCTTCTCGTAATTGATGTCGAATTTGGTCTCGCCTGGGTGCACATTCAGTTTACCAGAGCGGTGTTGCAACCCAACTTGTTGCATGAAGTGGGGAACTGCTGAGGAATGTGCGTGCTGAAGGCCAAAAATGGCCGAAATAGGAGGCTTCAATCAAGAGGGCCCCCTAAACCCTTTACCTGTGCAGCCAGGCGACCACCAATGCTGGCTTTTCGCCGAGGTCTAGAACCTGGGTAGTTCTTTAAATTAGGGTCCTGTTTGATCCCAAATTATTATAGTACGGCACTCTTGTAAAAAGGGCCATAGAACCCTTACAGTACCCTTAAAGATCCCTTTAAGGAGCCCTAAAAAGGGACCCCTAACCCACCTTGTGAAGACGAAGGAGGTGTGACCGCCACTCCTGGAGAGGTCGCAGCGTCGAGGGCTTCTGAGGTTTCGGGGCTCAGGACTGGGTTCAGGGCACCCGTGTCTTAGCAATACGGTTGATGATATAAATCCTGCATTACCCTAAGGGGACCCTAAAGTATGGGAACTATGGTATATTCCTTATTGTGGGTAATGCAGGATTTATATCATCAACCGTACTGCGAACGTACGCACAGTAGTAGTTCGGCGTGGCTTGGTGATACTCGTCGCAGCGGCAGCATAGGTAAGGTAGTTCATTTTATGAGGCTTACTGATTTGACAAGCGGCTGAGACACCGAGGCCTCGCAGCACAGCAAGCAAATCGCTGTAAGGGGCCGGTAGCAAACAGCACAGCAAACCCAGAGTTAGTCGTTTAGTCCTGAATAAGTCGGAAGTCGATTGCCACGTGGGCTCAAAGGTAGGAGTCAATGGCAACGTACCGACATGCTGACACTGGTGGTAAATCGGGTGGCAAGGATGAAATCATGGTAGCTGGTGGCGTTGAAGTGGGGCGGCTGGGTTTCCCCTGAACACTAAATTTAAACCCTAAACCCCTTATAAGCACCTGTGGCTCGTGCTCTGGACCGCGACGCATTCGGGAGGGAATGCTGGTATCGAGGATCCCTAAAACCCTACGGCGGTCTCAGGGCTGAAGGGTTTAGGTCTTTTTTTTGAACCCTCGTGTCTTTGCACCGCAAGGCATCCAGGGGTTTAGGGGTTTAGGGTTCAGGGTTTCGACTCACACACTCGCACAAGGCAGGTTCAGGGTTTAGGGCTTTAGGATATGGGGTACAGGGTTTAGGGTTAGGGGTGCTGGCAGTGGGGTCAACCGGGTAAGGCAACCCTCTTTGCTTGCAGGCAACAGATGCAGTTCTCGTCTACATCCCAGGCAAGTAAGTCTGTCCAGCCGAATTTAATTGTCCAGTCCCGGCCCAAGAGATACTGAATCTAGCAAAATCAAAGTTTGCCCTAAACCAAAAAATCATTTAATCACGAACCCCTTTGGCGTGGCTCCTTGCTCATGCTCTGGAGAGCTGTCTTCGGCGCTGGATGGAAGATTCAGGCGCGCCCTCGTCGACTTCGGCGTCGACTTCGATCCGGGTGGTGACATCGCTGACCTGGGCTTGAAGTAACCAGGGAGAAAATAGGAAAGACTCTAATTTCATCATGGTTCCCTTTAAGTATACAAGTCCCAACACAAGCATTACAAAGTATGGTACTCCAAAGCCCAGTGACTTAGATCCCATGGGTGACTTCAAAGCCTTGGGCGACTTCAGTGCCGATGGAGGCATCGAAGAACTTGGCGACCCGGGATCAGTTCGCGACCTCGTCACAGGACACTGCCAGGACAATGTAATGTAGGGGCCATAATAATTGCAGTACCATGGGGTTTGGGGCCCATTATACTGAATCTATAACAAGGAACCTCCAAAATGGTACAGATAGTTATTTCGGCCCCTGTATTATAGTCTGCACGGACCAGTCTCGGTAATAACTACAATTCTGCTGCCTGCTTAAAATAAAGCCATCGACAGCTTTGCTTTGACGTGCAGTGCCTCATTCATTTGCTACAACGGACTACTGCCGAATATAGTGGCAGCAGCATGATTTGACCAGGCGGTGTCTATTCCAGATCTGGCATTCTGAGGGACCCAACTTAAACTCGCACATATCATGGTCAGGGACCCCTAATGGAAATTGCTAGATCCTTCTCTTCCAACTATGACAAACCTCGCTGAAACCTTTAGAGAACCGACTGCGCTGTCCTGTAGTGACTCATGATACGCGGTCTGGGAAGCTTGCCTTGGCTTCAAACTCATAACAACAAGTGTCTGAAGCTGCAGAGGCAGCATTTCATGGCGCCTGGCACAAGTCACAGCTACGCTACGCGTTTCTGCAAACAATTACCGTAAACCCGAAAAGCCGGGTTTAGGGCCGGGTCGACTTTGGCGTTTATCGAATCCAATCCTAAGCCCAAACACTCTTGTCAACGTCCCTCAACAGCAATCCTGCCGGCGCACTTCAAAGGCATCATTAAAGTCCATTCCCTTTTTTGCAAGTGGGCTTGAGGACCAGCCATATATCCCCTAAACCGAAAACCCCGATTCCCCCTAATACCCACGCACAGGGCCTTGGTCGAGACTCCGCTGGCATCTCCGCTGGCATCTGATCCGCGGATGGCGAGGATTGCGGCCGATTTGCACTTGCCTTCAGTTAGCGTTTAGAGGCTTAGAGTTTAAAGGGGAAAGCTAGGGGATTAGGGCGTATGGGGTTTAGTTTAGGCAGCTCAAGCGACGGGTTAAGGGTTTGGAACTTCAAGGTTGGAAGGTTTGGGCTTTAGGGCTTCGGGTTTCAGGCTTCGGGTTTAGGGCGGCTATGAGGCTTCGGATTAGAGGCTTCCGTTGCGTTTGCGTATGAACAAAAGGACGCACCCCTGAACCACAAATTGATTTCAAAAATATCCGGCTATAGTTGGCAAGTGGCAATTTCTGCCGCCATGCGTAGGACGTCCACGGACACAGACGCAGCAGGTGCCTCACCCGAAGGAGGGACACCTGCAGTCGCTTCTTTTGCCGAATGCCCCGGAGATTCGGCCAGGGCAGCGGCCTCCTGAGGATCTGGTTTAGGGTTTAAGGTTCAGGGTTTAGGGTTTAAGGTTTAGGGCTTAATTTAGGGTTTAAGGTTTAGGGTTTGAGATGAATTGGGAGTTTCCGAAACTAGGGGACCCTAACATAGTACCCTATATAGTAGGATCCTCATTGTAAGGATCCCAAGATGAGGGTACCCCGAATTTCGAAAAAAAAACATTTAAGTGTGTAGGGTTTCGGCTTTCGGGCTTCAGCACTCACGTTCCGATGGAGTGATAGGGTTCAGGGAGCCCAGTCAGTCGGCGCAAAGGCTTTGCCAGCGGCACCACCACCACCACCAGCTGCAGCAGCAGCATCAGCAACAGCACCAGCAACAGCAAGAGCACCACCACCACCACCACCCACCACCCACCACCACGCTATTCAGCCAGCGAGCTAGCTAGCATCCATCTATCTATCTGGCTGCCTATTAAGTAGATCGTTAACTTCACAGAGCAGAGGTGTCAGGCGCATGTGTGATTTGCAGTTTCAAGGGGTTGAACCTCAGCCATAAATAAAGATGAGTCCCTGCCTCATGCTGCAGCAACCCAAAAAAGCACCCCCCAATTCCCAAATCCAAACATCGCCGAACCCTACACGCCAAACCCCGAAATCCCTGAACCCCAAACCCAGTAGAAACTCCGAAAACCCCGGAAACCCCTAAGACGTCTGCTCCTCGGTAAGCTGCCTCTCGTCGGCATCCAGGCCCAAGGACGGTGGCGTGCGCACCGGCGTGGTGGGGAGAGACTGGGGTATGGCTATGGGGGCCGGGCCTTGGCTGGGGCCCTGTTGGGGACTCTGAGCCTGGGAAGCAGCTCTTAAGCTGAACTGAAGGGCAGTCTGGCGAGGTACCGGGGGGTCCTCGTTCTCGGATGCCGTGCGTGACACGGGCTGAGGGACATGGGGGAGTGTCGTCAATTGGGGGAGCCCCTCCTCCGCGAAAAAGCTGGAATCGGCTGAATGCTCCTCAAGCAGCTCAAGCAGACCTGTAGGCTCCTCCGATGTTGAGGTTTTTAATTAGAAACAATTCTTTCTTAATTCAATTTTTTTTTTTTTAAAGTAGGCTCCTCCGATGTTGAGGCGCCATGTCTCACCGGCTCTGCTGTGGGGACAGCAGCATCTCCACCATGCGAAGGCCCTCTGGAAAACTGATCGGCGACCCTTGGCCTGCTGGGGAGTCGGATTTTTTATAGTATTATTCTTCTTCTTATATGTATTACTACATTATTATTATTTTTTTTTATTTTTTTTATTCTTATTCTTATTCTTATTCTTATTATTATTATGATGATGATGATGATTATTATTATTGAAATTAGTATTATTATTATTAGTATTATTAGTATATATTATTATATTACTATTATTGTTATTATTATTATTACTATTATTATTACTGTAAATATTATTATTATTATTAGTAGTAGTAGTAGCAGTAGTAGTAGTAGTAGTAGTAGTAGTAGTAGTAGTAGTAGTAGTAGTAGTAGTAGTAGTAGTAGTAGTAGTAGTAGTAGTAGTAGTAGTAGTATTAGTAGTATTAGTAGTAGTAGTAGTAGTAGTAGTAGTAGTAGTAGTAGTAGTAGTAGTAGTAGTAGTAGTATGATGATGATTATTATTATTCCTATTTTTATTTATAAGTTTTTGAGCGCCTCTTTTCCGACTTGCAGGGGCTTGCCGAAAAGTGGTTTAGGGTTTGGGATTTAAGGTTCTGGGTTGTTGTTTGAGCTCCTTTTTCCTAAGGTTCTGGGTTTGGGGTTCAGGGGTTTAGGGTTCAGGGTTTCGGATTGCTATAGGGGAGGTTGTTAAACAAAACGGGTCTGAAGACCTAATGCAAAGTTGAACAAAACTTTCCGATACCCAAAGTCGCAAACCCTGACGGTCGTTTCAAGAAACATTGATGATGATTAGGTTGTGACGAAGCTTTTGTTTCGCAAAACCAATAAACATAGTAGGTAGGTAGTAGTTGGAGCCAAAGAAGGACCTCGTGTCCGTCGGACGGCTCAAAGATGAGCTTGCCGCTGGAGGCGGAGGCGGAGGTACACCGCTATCCTTCGCACGAGCCTTCGGTACTGGGGCGGCTGGTGGAGCACCTCGCTCCTGGTGAAACATCTCCTGAGCTTGGGGCTTTTCTTGGGTTGTACTGCAATTTCGGGCACCAAAATATGTTCATGAACTAGTACCTCTGTAAGAACAGAAGGAAAATTTTCAAGCCCATCACAGCTGGCAGCGAAACATAGCGAAATATCGGCTTCGTGCATGTACGTATCTCAAGTCTATCCCTAAGCTTGTAGGTAGTACATGTAGGGCCAAAACAGGTTAGAGATCGGCTTGGACCCTGCACTCAAACCAGCAAGACGTGATCGATTACAGGGGCTTGGCGTGTAGGAAACCGATTAAGAGAGTCCGTCGAATGCTTAAAATATTTGTGGGGCCATTTTGGATCGGATTGATGTGCCAGAACAAGTTTTCTTTGGGAGGGCGTGTCCTTGACAAATCTGGAAAGTTACACTGCCCAGGCCACCTTGCCATCGTCTGAATGCTACGCGAACTTGCTTACTTGATCCAAGCTAGGCGCTCTGTGTAGTGCCAAGAAATTCGCCTGAGGCTTGCCGCCGGCCGCCATTGCCTTGAGCAAATGGCACTGATGGCCATCGGGTCCTAACACAAACAAGATTGTAGGACTTCGGAAGCTTGGAACTCGCTGTGGCAGAGTGCAGCCTGGGCTTGACTGTGTCAAGTAAGCGCTTAGAGAGCTGGAAAAGAAGACTTGCTTGCAGTGCCTCCAGCCAACTGCGTGCCCGTACATGTCGCACCACCCGAGAATGAGGCTGGAAAGACTGCGGAAAACAAGCGGAGGTGCTGGTGGTGGTGATAGTGCTAGCGCTGGCGCTGGTACTAGTGACTTGTGCGGGGATGGCTGTGGCACTTCAGACGGCAGTGGTGGTGGCAGTGGTACTGGTACTGGCATTGGTACTTGTTTTCGTAGTAGTGGTCGTAGTGGTAGTAGAAGTAGTAGTAGTAGTAGTAGTAGTAGTAGCAGTAGCAGTGGTAGTAGCAGTATAGTAGTCGTCGTCGTCGTAGCAGTAGCAGCAGCAGCAGCAGTAACACAAGCAGTAAGAAATGGTCCTGGCTGCATACGCTTAGGATTACAAGCCAGATCACAAATGACACCAGATTCCAAGTACATGGTGGTGTTCAGCAAGTCGCCTGAGCAGTCAACACTCAGCCTTACAAGCGCCCATGCTAGGCAGGCGCCAGAATAAATGCAAGAGGGTTCGGGTATATCAGAATATCTTAATACCAGAAAACTATAGAGTTTACTGAATCTCTATGTTTGACAATGAAGCCCTAGACCCAGAAGGCACCCAGGCCTTCATGGGGGCCCTGCCAGTTGAGTTTTAGGGTTTGGGTGCCTAGTTGTTTTTTGCCCTCTTGAGACAAACAAAACCTAGGCGCCCAAACCCTAAAACGTCAACTGGCACTT